ATTCATTCATTTCCTCTGATTTAGAACCTGGCAATAAGCTGTATGTGCAGCATTGACCAAAGTGAACAAGTCTAGGCCCTCATGAAATATATAGCCTGGTAGGAGAGGCAGACAGTCAGCAAATTACTACATAGAATTAGAAATTGTGAAGAGTGCCAAAGGGAAAATTAGATTGAGGAAGAGGTGAAGATGGATTTGGGCAATGGCTATTTGAATGAGTGCGTTTTATCAAAGTTATATTGAGGATACATTTTTTTTTTATTCAAACTGATTGCTTTTGTTTCTCTAGTATTTGTTTAGAACTTACATAGAGTCCTAGAGGAGCAAACTTGTCTTTTATTGGGTGTTGAGTGTTGAGATAGCCCCAAAGTACAGTTTGGGAGTACAAGCAGAAGTTGCTCAGTGTTATGGAGTAATTCTGAGAAGTGTGTGATCATTCCATGATGGGCTTGAGGTTCAGTTGAGTCACCTGTGAGATGAAGGCAGAGGTTCACTAGAGATTCATTTAAATAGGGAACGTTTTCAGGAGGCTCTGCTTGCATACCCAGGAAACCTGTGGTTTAAACTGTCCTGCAGATACGTATAAATAAGTTTAAAGTAGAAAATGTGTAAGATATACATTCTAGCAAACGTCATTCATTTTATCTCTTGAATTCTCTAAAATAAGTATACATTTCACCAATTGGAAAAAAAATCTGTTTTATTCTTATAGTGGAAAAATTAAAACATAATTCACAGTGATAGGCTCTGCAATATTTATAGAATGCCAAAAACCTAGACCAGCAAGCAATTTGAACTTTAGTTATATATGGCAAACATCCAAGGTCTATTATATATTTGTATTTGAGCATCAAAAGATGTCATAAATACATGGCTACTTTAATAAATCCAGAAAAGAAAAAAACTTTCTGTCATGTGGGAAAAAAACAAGTTTTATTTTTCATTCCTACTATATTTTAAAGAGCTTCATTTCTTGTTTTTCTGTATTTTTGTTGTTTTGGTTTTTTTTGGTGAGTCTTGGTGAAGACTTTTTAATAGTGTAAGTAACTGACAAACAGTACTTTTATAATATAGGTTTTATTCAAATTTTTTAACTGAAATTCATTATTTTGCTAAATATTTAGCTCTATTTTTGTCATTCTTGATACTCTTTACAATTCTATTGAAATAAATTTTTTAGCACAAATTTTCACCCCTTTCTAGTCCCAATATTCCATGGTGATATTTATAGCACTTTTACATATTGAGGAAAAAGATGC